CCTGCTGATTGATCTGATCCTCTTGTAGGAATAATTGCATCTTTATGTAATTTTTTAATAAATAATGTTTCTTCATTATTTTCTTTAGAAGTAAAATGTTCATTTAAATAATGTTTATAAAGAGTATTAATTTGATTAACATAATAAAAATTCATTTCTGAAATAACTCCTCTATTTCTTTTTATAATTCTTTTCTTTTGATTTTCTTCATTAGCATATAAAAATACATGAAATGTTTCATTTTCTATATTTTCTCTTTTTACCCATTCTGTAAAGATATTTCTTGCTATAACATTTGGAGTTGCATAATCAGTTGAAATACAATATGTATTATATTTATTATATTCTAATTGGTATTCTTTTTCTATTAAATATATTTTATTCGTAATTTCTTCTCTTTCTTTTTCTGTCATTGTTTTATCTATTTCACAAAATACTTCAATTGCTTCACGAGGATGTCGTTCAATAATTATTACTTTTTTATTTTTATTATTTTTTAATTGTTCTTCATAACATTGAAGAATAAATTTTTGTAATGTGTAATTTCTTTCTATTCCATTCCCTACATCTGATATTAACATTTTTCCAATTCTAGGTGAATAATCAATATATTCTTCTATTATTCCTACATTCTCTTTATTAAAATATTCAATTAATGCTTGTATTGTTGTTGTTTTTCCAACTCCTATACTTCCACTTATAATAATTGCTCTGTTATTCTTGTTCATTATATACGAATGAAAGTAATCAGATGTAATGAGTTTAAATAGTATATAAATTGAGGATTTATTCTATATATATTGTCAAAATTCATAATAAATTCATAATAAACTCATAAAATGAAGAATAACTCAGTTAAAATTAAATTAAATTAATTCATTTCTTTCTTTATTTCTTCATCATTCCAAACATCAAATGGTGTTTTTGAATCAATATAATAAATAAAACTTTGATTTGGTGATGATTGAACTATATCTACTGCATTTTTATATGTAAGTGTTCCATCAGTATAATTTAATATATATACTCCAACAGTACTAACATACTCTCTAGTAGTGAATATCATATATCCATTACTATAATATTTATCACGATCAGATAATTTATCAATGGTGGATGAATTTCCTGCATCAATTCTATTTGAATTAAAGTAAATTTTTGTTTTCTTTGTTGAATCCGTATCAGTATTTATCATAAACATAAATTGAAAGATATACATTTTATGATCAGTAC